ATGTAGACGTCTGTGATTTTCTGGGGAGGTTGTAGCAGGCATCACCTGCAAGTCTTTGCATCTGAGGTGTCCTGAGCTTCAGAAGGAGCATCCAGCTGAAGTATGCTGTGGATCTGAGCTGTACTGCAGCTTTTGTATGGAGGGCCACGTTAGATTACTTCTGTAGTCGGAAGAGTTCCTGTACATCACAAAAATGGTCCTTCTTGACCACTGCCCTGCAGTTTTGCAGAATATAATTAGATGTCTCTGCCTGCTGAATTCGTGCAACTGAGTGCGTGATGCTCAGGAGTGCTGCAGGAGGGGAGCCCCGTGCAGCCTATGGTTTGTTACGCCCTATAGGGATTTTGTCATGTTACTGTGGCAGAACATGCTCAGGCCTCGTAGAGGAGTGTGTCAGGCAGATACTGTGTTGGAGGAAGTGTTTTCAGGTAATTCTCAGGCCACCGGTGGCATAATCGTAGTCCAAAATGTTCTACAGCCAGTGTTCAAGCAATTCAACACCCAGGATCCGGTATTGAGGACCTGACCCCAGCATGGGGGTGGGAAATCTTGTAGTTGGAGAAGAATAAGAAAATCTAATGTTAAGTTCAGGAGAACATGAAGAATGAACTGAGACTAGAACTCTATTTTCAGACTTCTCACGTTTTCCAAAACACTGTCATGATAGAAGCTATGGGGAAGGGATGAGATGGGGGGATGAGGATGGATGGGACCGGAGCATTGTTTGGCTTCATCCATTGTACTGAGGAATGCAAGACCACTAAAGATTTTCTGTGTTCATATAATTAAGGCAAGGTCAACTTGTTGTGGTTCTCAAAGAGTTTTGTAAAATGCTCAGACAGACCCTAGTCCTATATGCTAAATTGCTTGCAAAGTTTGTTTGGTTTCTTAACTGGTAACTTCTAAGAGTGGGGAGGGGAATGGGCAAGCTGTGAGGATGGTTTGGGGTTTTGTTGCAGTTAGATGATCATTCAAACGGCAATTTTATATTGGCAAATAGTATTTAAAAATAAAACAGAAGGTATTTGTATAATGTTGACTTTGTTTCCATTCATTTATATATCTTCATTTTATATTATGCATCCCTCTTTACTACTGTAGTAGGAAAAACCAAAGCTGAAGTTTTTCTTGACTTAAGGATCATGTGTTCTGCCGGGAGTGATATGTTCCCAAGTATGGCTCTCTAGCGTTTGCGAACTGCATTAGATGTGTTTGTCTCTATGAAGACATATTTGCCTTCAAAGACTTGGGTGCTCACCTTCACTGTATGGTCATAGCTCTCTCTTAGCGGTTTTCATCAACTGTGAAATAGCCAGTGTTGATGTTTCAGTTGTCTTCGTGTTTTAGCTGTGGGTGGAGGCCAGTTGCACCTGCCAAATATTCCAGATTGCTGGCCCATTTATGCAGGATCACTTCCTAGTACTTGATTTGCATTAGATTATTATTTTCCATGCTGCATATTTGAATGTGCTTTTAAAAATTGGTTGGAAGTGCCTAGCTTCCCTATTGCCCAGACATATATTTTGAATTAATAATGTAAAAAGTGCATGGTAGAGCCTTTGCCCTTTCATGACTCAGTTGTACTTACAGTTTTAGAAGATTTGGATCACTTAAAGGCATTTATGGTGCATTGAATCTTTAATGACATTTGCCAACATCAACCTGTAATTGTGCAAAAGTTAACGCAAGTTTCCTGATCATTTAAAGTTGTGGTGCTGATCTGTGTCTTCATCACATGCTTGGGACCTGACGTACACCATCTTTCCACCAAGTTAGTTTGGGGATACCCTGTGTCTCCCATCCTCTAGAACGCACAGGGCATGGCTGATGTCTTCAGCTACCTGAGACTTAAAAAAATTTCAGGTTCTGCAATGACCTCATCACTGATGCTGCTCTTGATCTCTCCAGCTCTTTACTTCTAGCACCTTATTTTTGAAGCTTTGGGCTATTGCTTCAGGTTTTAAACTGGATGCAGACTGTTGGAAAGAAAAATGCAACACCCCTTTGGTATAGTAAAGTTTATCTAGAATTTATTATGGTAACTTCATCAATAAATGGTGGCCGTGGGGTTTGCAGGTTGTACAGTCTGCCCTAATGCAGTTTTACACTCATATTGATAAAATGATCTCTTCCTCACTAAATACAAACATGTAGACATTTGGTGAACGTCACTTATTCACTTGTAAGAAACTGGACCATTCTTAAGTTAGTGCTATTCTTTAGTGCAATCTGGGGTTAAAAAAGCAGAAAACATTTTAAAGAAATAAGCTTTCAATCTATTGTTTTCATTGGAAATGTTCAATTGCTACTTTTGAAATCTTAATATGTATTTTGAAGATGTCCTGAATTTGTTTCTTTGTCCTGTGAGGAACTTGAGAGAAATGAATACAGACAAATTATTTCATAAAACATGCAAAATGGCTGTGGATTGACAGTTAAATCTGTAATAGTGAATACATTCAATTTTCCCCTTTGTTCTGTCAGCAGTCACTTGTACTCTAAATGTCTATTTAATTTTTTAAGTAGATTAACAGGAAATGTTTGCATTATTTGATTATTGAATTGACTTTTCCAAATAATGGATCTTTTCCTCAAATATTTATGTGGTATTGAAAATGTTTTTCCAGAAGGGAAAAATGCTAAAAATGAATGGGGAACATATTTCGAGTTATTTGTAGTATATGCGCATAATGCCTCATCTGAAATCACTATATACTTGCCTTTGGTTGGGGGGAAAAAAAAGGCAGTTTGTCATCTGTACTGCCTTCCAAAATTAGATTCAGATAATCCTACCTTTTTGAGTAAATAAGCGGCAGATTGGTCTTAAAAATGAAATTCAAGTAAGCTCTTGATATGTGATATAAAAAATAAATAAGCTAATATGTGAGCAACATAGAGCATTTCAGTGATAGATGATAATATAGATTACCTTTGTTGTTTACATAATTAGGCTGGGCAGAGAAAGGAGAGGGAGAAAGAAGCATTAGTAAATGCTTTTGTTTGGTCCTGTGTGGTTGGGGGGGGTTTATTTTGGATTTTTTTCTGCGCTCCGTGTGTGCATGCGGTTTGCAGTGCACGGATGAGGAATTGTATAGGAAATTTGCAGCTGCTCTAGTTATTCAGTAAGATTTGTATAAGCTGGCACAAGGGACAAAATTAGAGGGAACTTGAATGAGTGCCGTGCAGTTTATTAGCTAGGCAGCCATAATTTTGACCTTGCTGTGGGTTAAAGGACACAGACCTGAGAAGAAATCTGTTTATCATGTAGGGAATTCATGCCATCCCTGACAGTGTACAGTGAACAAGATGGATGATCTGCCAAATTGGTCCCTCGCATGGGTGAATCAGGGCAAATTTACAGTACAATTCCTTTGCTGCTCCTGATACAAAAATAACATTTGCTGGGTTTTATATTCAGTTGTATGATGACCTAGGGTGAGCAGAGAAAAGAAATCAGATTTGTAGGATCCGTGTTACCTTAAAGATTTATATGCACCTTGCTTTCCTTTTGTGCCTGCCTCTTTTGCATGTCTCATAAAGCACTAAGGAAAAAGTCCCAATTGCTTGGTTTGAGAGAGCAACTTTATGTAAGTGTGTCGGGGAACTTCTCTTAAATACAGCATCGTGAAAGCTTCTCTTACCTTCAGCACCACAATTATACTGTGCACGCTGCTTCATTTGAACCCTACTTTTACTTATGTAGTATTTTCCTTTAATATTTGGGATACGTTTCCGTGCTACACAGGCTGCATGTTCTGTAACGATTTGACAATATTCTGGCTAACAAGCAAACAAACTTGAAAAATACAGAAATTTGCTGTTAGCCATTGACGTGGTAGTGACAGGATCTGATGCTGCAGAGTGAACCGCGCTCAGAGTAGTGTTGCAGTGCTCAGGAAAACAAGAGTTCTCTTAGAGGGACTAAGTTTTTGGTGTAGACTGGCCTCATCCTTATACAAGTGAGAGCATTGTAAGCTTCCTCCAGAGACCTCGAGACAAATCCACTGATGTATGAATCTGAGATGCATGCGATTAACCGTGTCAAGTAATGAGATGTGAGACAGCAAGGAGGAGGAAGCAGTCCCACAAAAATGGGAAAGAACCGTAAATGGAGAAATGGCATGTGCTCTTTATCTTTTGAAGGGAATTGTTCTTCTAAACCACATTGCCTACGTGTTCTTACTTTAAAAAATGTTTAGACTGGACCCTTAGATGTCTGGATTTTCTGCATAAGCTCAGTTGGTACGTTCCATTAGAGATAAATGTGGATTTATTAGAGGAAAACAACATTTTGTACAGAACCTATTGTTGTTGGCACACTAACAGATTCAGAAGACTTTCTTTTAAACAGTGCCACAATAACAGATTTGGGTGTCCCCTGATCCACTAGCTATCTTTATGTTGGATTCTCAAACACGTTAATTAATACAACATAATTACAAACTGTATTTTAATCTTGTTAAGTTATTTCTGGGCAAAGAGAAGTGCAGAAATGTGATGCAAGTGATAAGAAACAAAATTAAATCAATAGCACTCTCAAGACAGAAAGTTGTGTCAGTTGTAGAAAATCCCTCATTGACACTACAAAATAGTGACTGAGTGAATTTCTTCCAAGTCACCGAAGAAGACTTAAACCGGTCTATAATGGTAGATTTAAAAGCATCCTTGTACAAAAATGTTGTGGAAAGCAAAACTGTGAGATTTCCTGACCAAGGACATTTCTTGCAAACTTACAGACTATTGCACTTCATTTTTTCCTGATTTTTATTTGTATTTGTACATCTTGTTTTTATAAGAAGCAGAGATGACTCAAGATAGAATTAGGAAAGAATTCTGTTTTTAAAAAGAGGCTTTTTAGTTACCAAGTCATAACAAGTAGCATTTTGCATACGTAGGCATTTCTTTAAGTAGGTAGAATATAAATGAGAAGGAAAGTTAAGTATCCTGCAATCAAAACATTACAATTACACTAAAGTGGGGACTTTTTTTTTTAATTACAGAAAGCACTCCAAAGACTTCTGCCAGTTGCAGTCCTGCTCCTGAATCTCCCATGAGTTCCAGTGAATCAGTGAAAAGCCTGACTGAATTGGTACAGCAACCCTGTCCCACTATAGAGACAAGTAAGGATGGCAAATCCCAAGAATCTAGCGAGCCGCCTGCTTCTGAATCCCAATCTACAACACCTTTGCCGCTGTCGGGCCACTCGGCACTCAGCATTCAAGAACTGGTTGCGATGTCCCCTGAGCTGGATACGTATGGCATTACAAAGAGGGTCAAAGAAGTGTTAACGGACAACAATCTTGGTAAATCACTTTATTCTCATTTCTTGACCAAAATAAAATGAAAGTGTTCATGCTTTTATTTTTAAGCTATATTTCAGTAGATGTTTACAAGAATACTTGGATTTGACTCTGACCTAAGCTTTAATCTGTTAAAAAGATAGACATTTTTAAAAAAACTCGTAGAAGAATCCTTTCAGGTTGTCACGCTCTGCTTAAAATGTCATCATACTCTTGCTCTTCTTAAGCTCTGCTCCTGGCTCACCAGCCAGATACTGCTCCCACCTCCCTAAATACAGTCCAGCAGGCTGTCAAGAAGACCAAAACCCCAAAGCCAGTGAGATCTCCCCTTGAGAAATGCTGTTTTCCCCATGCGTATAGATTCAAGGCCCCAGCATTTGAGGCATATAGGTGAAGTAGAGGAGTCCGGCATGATTGGAGAAGGAGGTGCACCACAAGCAAAAGCATAGTGTACCTGCAGAGCTAGGAGGGTAAATTCAGACTCAGCTGAGGTTTAGATGAACCTGTAGATAAGGGTATGGAGCCATTCAGTTATTTTGCTCAGAGATGTGCAAAGCTAAGGCTGCTTTTACTTACAGATGAGGTTTTGGCTGTCGAATTAAGTGCAATGTAGATACAGCTATATATTGGGAATAGTCAAAGGGAATAACCTGATCTGAGTATGGGAAATCCACACTTAATACTGCCACTATGCCTCTAAATCACTAGTTCTTCATATGTGTTTAACACTTGCTGCCCTCACAAGGCATTGGGAAACCTTTAGGAGTCCTTTGAAGTCTCTAGTGGGAAGGCAGTAAGGCTGCCCCAGTGTTAACCTGTATGTGCTTCTGGGGCTTAGCATGGGATTCATCTCACCTGCATTCAGATGGTCAAAATAGACATCTGAGGTGGTTGGGACGAGTCACTCTCCAGAAGTACCAGTTTCTCTCCGTTCACTACAGATAGGACCAAAAAGATAAGTTTAGATTTAGTCTGCTGATAATACTTCTGTGAGAAGAATTCCATCCGTATCATCTAAACATTATGACTGTATAAGTAAAAACTCCTTTCTTTTAGTATGTAAGGAAACCTTTTTTTTTTTGGCTAGACATAGAATAATGTGTTATTATCTTAGATTTTTTTTTTAAGGGGAAAAATACTGGGATGGGGGAGGTTGCAAGTTCTCATTTAACAAAATTTGGGGAAAAAAGAAAATGCCCCTGATCATGGACATACCCTGTATGAGATTGTGTTTCACTGAACCGAGCAGAATTACTTGCTTGTGCACATTGGCATGGGCAGATTGTGGTTGCTTGTTCAGTGGAGATAATGTAGAGATAAAACCACAAGTCAAGGTAAGGGTTTTGCAGGTTCAAGCCCTTAGTTTTTGGGCAAAAATGCTGTTGAGTTGCTGTACCTGCTCTGGTGTTCCAGAGAGGTTTGAAAAAGTATTTTTGTTTACATTTGCTTTGATGCCATTTTTACTTAGTCTTTTTTATTTCCCATGATTTTTGTTTTCCTACAGTGTGGCTGACAAGCCTAAAAAGCAGCAGAAGAGCCAGGAAATGTGCCCCAAACTCTGCATTAGGTGTGGAACCAGTTTCAATGTCTCCTTTTGCGCCCTCAGTGTGCTAGTGCACCAGATTGACTCGGTGCACAGGTTTCTCTGTCTTAGGCCACAGGGCCTTGTGAACCTGTCTTAGGCAACTGGTGGTGGCTCAGTTGTTCGAATATCATCAGCCAGTAAAGACTGCGGTTGTGCAAACCCATTCAAGATGTGTTTGGCGGGTCTTTCCTCCCATACCTTTTAGCATTCGTTCAACAGTCACCATTTTAGCAAACGATGCTGGCAGCATTAATGCTGAGATGTTGCTGGTATTCTTAGTCCCAAACGTTACAGTATTATCAGTGATTCCCTGTTGGGCAACATATAGCTTAGAGAGAAAAGCAAATGCAGTGAACTAGTGAAGGATTGCAACCGTGGGAATTTTGCAGAAAAGGCCAGGACTAACCATGAAAGCAGCATAATTCACAGAAAGTTTTGTCCATGAGGAGGTACATCAGTGGGAACAGGCGTGAAGGATATTAGGGTAAAAGATGGGGAGAATTAGGAGTTTTAGGAAAACTGTGCTTAAAAATATTCCAGTTATTAATAATGCTGTGATGAAGTGGAGTGTGATACACCTGCTACCTCCTGGGAATGATTTCTAACATGTTCCCCATTAGCATGGGAGTATTTCAGGTGTTTTATCCTGTCCTGCCATATCCTGGGATAAAATAAGTGACACAAACATCTTTAGCTTTGTTCTTAACACCTAGAGAACATGATGTTACCTCCTTCCGTGTTTGCATTTTTAATTTTTAGGCTCTAGTTTGAAGTTCCTTTCCCTTAGCAGCATTGCTAGTACCTGATCTGGGCTGCTTGTTGGCGACCCTTTTGCAAATTTGTGCCAGTATTCCTGTTCATGTGGCCACACAATAAACCAGACCGGTTGGTCTGAGTCAAAAGAGGCTGTTTTATTCTTGGTAGGTTGGTTTGACTCGGATCAGTTCCCTGCTCCAATTTACTGTGCAGCCAGACGGGCAGTCACCGTGGCCGCACTGGCACTGCACAGTGGCTGTCAGAGCTCTCACGGCCGCTGGAAGAAGCGCTCATCGCATCGGAGCCTGAGCACAGCCTGGGGTTAGAAACTGTGGGGAATGTTAAAGGAAAGTTAGTTATGAAGGCAAATTAAAAGATTTTTAAAGTTAAGTGTCTTATCTTACTAGTAGCTGGCAGGTTTAAAGGTAAATGGATGAGGTTTTACTGATGTTTTTAAATACAAAGGCAAACAGGGAGTAGGTTAACTGTGCAATACGCGTAACCTAAAATTGGCCCTGAATTATTTCTTTAGTCTGATTTTGCCTGATATTGAGGGTAGTGGAAAAATACTTACTACTTAGTAACTTAAGTAAATTCTGAATTTAGGTTTCTGTCCAGTCTGTAAGAACCATTTTCAGGGTTAGTTTTAGCGCCTGTTAGCAGACTGTGCCATGTTAGCCCTGTCCTCGTTTCCCTTTTCTGCCTTTCATTATCTGAGCTGCTTCTTCCACAAGCTTTGCAGACCCACCTACCCCATGCATCTGAACGGGACATCCTGCAGCTTTTAACTGGTCCCACATTCCCTCCTCTCCCCAGACAGGTGAAAAAAAAATCACCAGGACAAAACCTTGGGATGCTTTTAAGGAGGAGGAGGAAATTCATGAAGTTAAGCACAGGGGATGGGTCTATAGAGCAGATATTTTCCACAGCCTGTTTTTGTCAGGATCAGGTGAGGCTGTGAAGGCAAGAGCTGATGGTGCTTTTGCAAGTGCGGGCATGTCCTGCAGAGCTGTAGGATCACGAGCCCCCACGCATCTGCATTGTCCCTTAGGGATCTCGTTGTTGCCACTGGCTAAGACCGCTGGCATTGCTAGGAAGTGAAGGAAACATGTTCTGCTGTGTGTTCGTGAGGGCATTCAAAAGCTGCAGATCAGACACAAGACCCTGAGGCCTAAACTTGGTCGGTATGGAAAGATCTTTGGGTTACCTTGAAAATACATGATAGCTATGCTTCTATCAGAAATCACCAGTGATGACTCAGATGACTTCAGGCGCTGGCTTGTAACAAAAGCTGTTGCATATCAAGGCAGTTTAGCTCAGGAAGAACACGGAGGTGAAGGGTTTTAGAAAACCAGCTGTATGGTTGGGTTTGAGCTGCGCAGGCATTTTCCACAGTCCTTGATACGTTACATCTTAACCATGTAAAATTAGTGTTACCAATGCACACACTGTACAATGTTCAATACTGTACATTGAAAAGCGTATGCAGGTTTTGCCCTGCTAGACAATAGCATTTTGAAAGAGAACTAAAATTAAGTATTCTTAACTAGAAGTACTGTAAAAAAAGAGGCTGCAAAAAAAAAGCTGTTATATTGTAAAATGTGATTATGTATAGTTGGTAAGACACAATTAGAACACCACAGATAGTACAACACAGAAAATATGTACATGTGTCTTTGAGGACACTTACATGACCGTTGCTGAATGGAGGGGTTGCACTGGTCTTGGTTCATTGATTGCTTGAAGTGTTTGGATTGCCCTGTTGGAACGAAGCTGTTGCACTACCTCCTGCGTAAGAGCTAAGTAGCCTCACTGCTCTCACTAGTTGCCTGCTTAACTAAAAGTTCAGTTTATTTTTAATCTCATTAATTTTATTTTTTGCACACTGTTTCACTGTAAGGTCCCAGTCCCCAAATGTGTTGAGCTCCCCTCTTTGCCGCAGTCAGATCCTAAGGATTAAACTAAAGCTCAATATTGACACTTCTAGTGGGGGGCAGAGCTTTTGTTCTTCTAAATGTTTCTTCTGGGTTTTCAAGCAATTCTGAATTAAGAATAATTGACGAATGATCTCGTAGACGTGTTCTGTCTTTTTAGTTAGCCTCATCTCTTAGCTGAATGAATTCATGTGATTTTCAATTTCATATTAGGTCAGCGTTTGTTTGGGGAGACAATCCTAGGGCTAACACAAGGCTCTGTCTCAGACCTTCTGGCTCGCCCAAAGCCCTGGCACAAGCTGAGTTTGAAGGGACGGGAACCCTTTGTCCGCATGCAGCTGTGGCTGAACGATCCCAACAACGTGGAGAAGCTGATGGATATGAAACGAATGGAGAAAAAAGGTAACTTGGAGCAGACTGCTGACTCATGTTTTCCGTTATTTCAAAGATGGCCGTGTCTTTTATTATTCTCCATAAATAGCATAGAGGCAGCATTGATCCAGTATTATGAAGGTTATGCAAAAAGACTTCATGACAGCTTTTTCATAGCTTTATTTGATGCTAGCTCAAGCAGATACATCTCCAAAAAAAGCCAAACAAAAAACCAACCCCAAACCCTGAATATTCACCAGCTGTCATGAAATCATTGCTATATTCTCCTATAGATTAATTACTGAGGCCCTGGTGTATCACTGATAACTTGCCTTACCAAATGAGAAATGTGAGTTTGGGAGCTGGCTTTGGGTTATTAGTTAATAGTGCTGCAGCTGGTCACAGATGTTGGGCTGGAAGAACTGTGCATTGATTCCTGAGAGAGCTTCTTGCCAGTCCTGCACTGATAGTCACTAGGAGGAGGGAAAAATGCAGTCTGTATAAAAGGGTATTTGAGGGTAATTACATTTGTAGCCTTTATAGGGATGAGAGAAGGTGATTGTGTTAATACATGCTCACATAAAACAGCTAGGTCATGAGTATCTACTCGTGAGAGATCTAAGTTGTTACTGGGTATCTTAGTGGGGAGCATATCCTGAAAATTTATCCTACTCTCTATATTTTCAATTAATTACTACAAAACAGTGGTTATTCAGACCCGTGTTTTTAGTGTGATTTTACAAGAGAGACTCATAGGCTGCCGTTATCAGCAGTTAACTAATTAATGATATATACATCTCTTGAGCTATCCCTTAATGATATTAGTACAGACAGCATTAATCGCATGCACTGAAAGCACTGCTGTTGACTTGATGTCCTGAAAGCATTAGCACATTTGATAAAGAACTTTGTGATTATATGAAGAATCGCAGTGGGGAGCTTCTGGGAAAATGGTAGTCTTGCATATTTTTAAGAAGAAATTAAAATCCTTGTCATAGTGACCAGTATAATATAATGCAATGCAGTATCTTACCACAAATTGTATATGATCTTCTATGGGGAGTAAAATCCACTTGGGTTTCCTACTTAGAGCTGTAAACCAAAGGGAGCCATGATGGGTTTTGCTGTATTAGAAACATGGCAGAAATAAAATTGTCAACTAGCTGGATTTTTATAGCCTCAAAGAGAATATCACCCATAATGCAGGAAAATAAAATAAAAATAATTTAAAAGTAGTACCGACAATATCCTTTCAAAACTATTTTCTAAACTGGATTCGTATCAAATAGTGTGCAATACATATGCTGTATAGATGGCACCTGAATAGAGATAAGGCTGTAAATCACTGAGAGTCTGTACTGAGCTCCCGAGCTGTGTAAGTGCTGTCCTCATAGCAGAGCACTCTAAAATGAATTCAACTCTGTATTTTCTGCAAAAGCCTTTCATGCAGGTAAGGATCCTGTGATTTAACCTGTTAAATTGCTCTAGAGCCACATTAAGAATTTAACTTTCCCTTCAGCTAATGTCAGTTAAAGAACAATGCAACTGTATCTGCTACCAGTGAAACATTATTATCAATTATTTCTCTGCCACATTTTATTAAGGGAGTAAATTAATAATTATGATAAAGTTGAACTGCATATATCTTTTTTTTCTGTTCTGCCAGTCTGAAGTTTGTACTATAAATGTCCATTTTAAGACGTTCTGAAAATTTGCAATGTGCATTAACTAACCTCTTTGGAGGAAGCCAGGGGTTCACGCTCACTAAGCTGAGACACTCCGCACCACCTTTCTTCCTTGGAAGAGTTCATTCCTCTTTCTTACAACCTCCCGGTGTGTGTGCTGCTGGTAACGTCACACTCCTCACTGAACAGTACTGAAGCCTGCTGTCAGGAGAAAATTTAATTCCCTTTATTTCCCCATTATTTCACTTTTTAATAATCTTGTTCAATACCACCTAAGATAAAAATTATATTAAAAGGGGCTCTGTTTTACCTCAGTGGGCAGCCGCTAGTTCTGCAATAGTGTCTGCTGCGTCTGTAGCTGAGCACATGCTGGGGAGTCTTCCCAGAGGAACACCGTGATGCTGGGTTGGCACAGCAGGGGAATAAAAAAAAAAGGTAGTAAAACTCAGAGGATAGAGCTGGCCTTGACAAGTTGGTCTCAGACCCAGATCCAGACCTTTGCCCAAATTACATTTGAGTTCGTTGGTTTTTTTAATAGGTCTCCTGAGAAGTGGAGGCCAATCACAGACAAAAATCAAACTTCTCTAAAAATCAAGTGTGTTTGCAACTTGGATTCCAGTTTAGCCTTGCTGTCCCTGCAAATGTGCTGAATGATCTCCTTATGTTGTCTACATGCAGCACATATGTTTAAAATAAGAATTAAAAAGGCAAAGCTTTTATAAACATCATCTTAAAGTTTCCAGAGACCACCATTAAAGCCTGTCCTGGTTTTTGCGAAAACAGAACCAAGCCTGAAGCTTAGGTGCTAGTTCAGCACATGGTGAAGTGCCAGGATTGTGCCTCTGGCCCCATGGAAATTTGTTCTGATAATATCTTATCCTCCAGAAAAACAATTACTTACGACAGAACAGTGGGACATCCTCCTCTTTATTTTTATGTTAAGGAAATATATGCATTTATAGAATTCATTCCGTTCACACAAGAGAGACCCAAATCAGCCATTGCACCTTTTGTGATCCCAGCATGAGGTTACAAAAGCAGAGGTAGGCATTAGGGTGTGAAATTTTTCCCGAGCTATCACAGCTCCGTGCTGTCCGTAGGAGTCTAAAGATGGGAGCTCTGACCTGCCAGAAATGCCATCCTTTGGAGAGCAGAGAAAGCAGAGATCCAGAGCATCCTGATGCATGGGTGTCTCATGTTAATTCAGTCGCCTGACCAAATTCCAGAAACTCCAGTTAGAGATAGCCTAAACACCTTTTACATCTTCCATGTGAGGTTCTGTTTTGTCTCATGGGCTCCTTTAAGCTGCTGTACATTGCTGAAGTGATAGATGCTGTCTTTCAGCCCTCTTGGTTGTGATATCAAAGGAGACGAAGGAACCTTGTCTGTAGTTTGCATGTCAATGCAAGTTTGAAATAACACCTAGGAGTCTTTGAGATGAAAGACCTTATATAAATGTGAGATTATATTGCTGGAATGATTAATGCCACGGTTGAAGGTGTAACAGTTTCTTGAAGGCTGCAAAAATAAGGCCAATCGGTCACCTTGAAATAATGCATTTACCTGTGGTCACTTTGCCGTTCTAGATCTCGTTGGAGCAACTTAAATAGCTGATTATTTTTTAATGACCTTTATTAAAAAAAGAAACACCTTTGCTTTTTATGGTGATTTCAAATGCATGCAGGACTGTGTCGTGGCAGAGTGATGGATCACGAGCAACTCACGTTCTGTTCCATATCAGTGATCTTACATAGTAGGCAATCCACAGGTAATCTGTCATACTCGGGAAAAACAAAACGAGGGCCATGCAGATACCCCCAAAGGTTACAGAGTGTATTCAAAATCCACTTCAAAGATAGTTACACACAGTGTTAGAAGGTCCCACTGGACGTACCGCCATGTAGAGGACAGGTTGCTGAAACCCACTGGAGGCAGAAAACCTAGCCAGTCCTGTAGAGAGCTCTGCCAGAAGAAGCTGGCTTGTGTAAGACGGGCTTTGAACATTTTCATTTATTTAGTTGCACGGAATTTTTATTCTTTGTGCACCCTCAGCCTAAGGGCAGAGCTATGGGGAGGGAGAAATTTATTTTTTGTAGAATTTGGTTGCTGACCAGTGTGACGTGCCCCACATTGGTCCCTGGCTCTGATCAGAGCTCCTGGCTGTTGGAGATTTAGTGCCTGCTAGATTGATGTCAGGCTGGTGTAATCTGGAACTTAATAGCCGAGGTTATCAAATTGCAGCTCTTGAATACCTGAACTCTTAAATATCTAGAAGGTATTTAACAGGCCATTAAATATTTTATTGACAAGATTCATCTATATTTGCCATTTTCAGCCCCCTCATTAGCAATGCTTGTGCATGATACTGCCAGGTGCAGTAAATCCCACCTCTCTTTGCCCGGCGTAAATCAATCAAGTCAGTGACAGCGTTTGCTGGGACTCTTTCCTTGCAGAATTTGCCAGGATAATTGAGTCCCCATCGGGGAGGAGAGCCAACAGTGGTATCCCAGGCTTCTGCCGTCAGCCTCACCGTGCTCCATCGGTGCAGCAAGAGCTTTCTTAAAAGTATATGCATTTTGGAAAGAGCCTTGCGTAGGGGAGGAGGATGCTGTGGGCTGTTTTTCTTTCATAACCTGTCACTGCAGTAGCGAAGATGTGTAGGCAAAAGCAGCAAAGGCCTGACGGGTTGTTCAGCCCCTCGCTGGGATCTCCGGGCTCCGCACGCCATCGTGCGTTGGAGAGGGGGCTGCGGCTGCCTGCACCTCCCATGGTCGTAGTTGTAATCCAGAGACCTTAGGTGTTAGAGAGACCGGAGCGTACACCTGAACTGTTTAACAACCAAAAACCGTTGAAGTTGAAATGAAGTGCGACTGTCCTAATCGGGTGCCTATGTGGAAGTTCGCCACTCTTAAAAGAGTGAATTTGAAATAAGTCGTGTTAACTGAACCCTGTTATTCATGTCCTGTGTTCATTGAAAAAGCAGAAAAGTCTGACAGGTTTCCAATCAATTTACCCTCTTTTCTTCCCCTTCTTTCTTCTTTTTCTGCCTCTTGCATCCCCCCCGCATTTGCTTTCCTCTGATGTCTGATAATGCCCCTTCCTTTCTGTTCTCTCCGAACAGCCCATCCATGCATCTACAACCTGTCATCTTCGCATTTATTCCACAGCTCGTATATTCATTGATTTTGCATTTGTATTCAGCTGGGGCTGATCCGATGCGCTTCTCTTTCAGCCTACATGAAACGGCGACACAGCTCTGTTAGCGACAGTCAGTCTTGTGAGTCCTCATCCGCTGGAATAGACTACAACCAGGGAGCCAGCCCGCAACCGCAGCATCAGCTGAAGAAACCCCGGGTGGTGCTGGCACCGGAAGAGAAAGAAGCTCTGAAACGAGCCTACCAGCAAAAGCCATACCCATCACCAAAAACTATTGAGGAACTCGCTACGCAGCTCAACTTGAAAACCAGCACTGTGATCAACTGGTTCCACAATTACAGGTATGAGATCTCCTGGGAGCCCTACTCATAAAGGATTTATTTTATTTGCTTTGGCAGGGTACTACTGTGCTTCTGCAGACTGTGTCTGCTTCTGCTAGCGTTGAGCGGTTGTACAAAATGAACAGTTTCGACAGCAGGGAGGTTCTAACTAACAGTAATGCTAATGCTCCAGACTAATTTTAAGTCATCCCCAAGGAATATTCACATATTGATGTAAGTCATGCTTTTAAACAGGAGGTCTTGCTTTTGGGGTGGGCGTGGATTTAGAGATGTCCACTATTGAATATTTATAAATCCCTTTGCAGAGAGCAAGACTGCTCTTTCTTACTTGCATATGCACACTCACACAGATGTATACTTGCACATATATACACACATGTAGGTGTGTGTTGTGTATGTTATGCCTGGGTCACTTGATGCGGCATGCTTGGAAGTGTACTCTGCTGGATAGCATCAGAATTGCACTGCTTTCATCATATAATTTTACCATATAAGAGCGAAAAGAGGATTTTCTTTTAGGTCTTGAGTCACTGAGCTCTGAAAATAGGCATAGTACATGCTGATTTCTGGGAAGCTCCGCACAGTCATAAGGACAGCAAACCGGTAACCCTGAAGTTGGATGTGGCCGCAGATTTATTTCATTGTTATGATTAAATCGTTGAGTCCCACTGAAATGAAAAAAGATGTTGGTCTGTTTAGTTCTTTTCTCATATTAGAAGGAACCGTCTCCACATTTGAACCATTGAAGTAGGTTTTGGCCTAGAGACACCGATCAAAAGAAACAATGCTAGAATGGCATATAAGAATTATAAGGATTTGAATAAACATATGATCAACGATACTTGGGATTGGGAATCTTAATTAGCACAACAGACTTTTCTCCAATTTGTGCTAATGAATATTGAACAGGTACACTTAAGATACCAGATTTAGTACTATTCTGCTCCTTCAGTCAGAGCCAGTAATGTTCCTAATTAGTCCAGACTGGTAAACTTGTTTGTTTTCAGAAACTGCTAACATTTAAAGGGTATTTTCCACTTTGGCCCTTCTCAGCTTTTGACAGGGAAGTTGCTGAAGCAGAAGCAGCACAGTTTAATGAGATATCTCAGAAATATTATGCACAATCGTTAAATAATGTTTATAGTAAACAATATAAAATTTTAAAATTATAACCAAGTAATCATATTTACACTGAATTTCATTGACTTGAATTCGCTACAGATGCAGCCTCTTTCACTGCTCAGAGTTCTCCAAATGCAGGCCTCTCTTCCAATTCCCACTTCTAGGCAATTATACACAAGTTGGAGGAATGCCTATGAAAATATGTTCCCTTCGGCCTGACAGCAAAATGTGCTGTTCTCACTTACGCAGACGAGTGCGGGAGCACTGGTGGCATGTGTCATCTTCCTCATTATCATGAGATCTCCTGTTTAGGCGTGCTGCGAGAAAGCGTGACAAGTCATGATTGATCAGCGTGTTTAGCCACACCAAGCTATACATTAATGTAGACTAGGTGCTGACAGTTGTATACAACATTAAAAATGTATAAACAAGGTGCTATAGGCTGGTGGGTAGCACAAGCCTCACGGCAATGACTGATCTGGACCTGCTCCCAGATGTGCTGCTGAGTGTCCAGGACTTTAAAGAGATGTTTGAAGCCTGTTTGGAGCCCTGGGTGCTCTGAGCAGTTGCCACCACTGAAAAATCAAAACACATGCCAGTTCTTTTCCTCTGTACAATAATCTTGGCTTTCATGTGCAAAGTACTCTTAAATCATTTGCAGGACGTTGCAGAAGAGGTACAAGTTACATGTTCTGCTAGGGGAGCAGGAGCTGACTGTTTTGCTGCTCAGTATTGTAAGAAATAGATAGTCTTTCCCCTCTTCATCTTCTCCAGGCCACACTTAACTTTATTTATCTGTTTTACACTCTCCCTCAGCCATTTCTTTTCCAAACTGAAGAGTCTTCATACAGAAGCAGTTCCACATCTCAGACTATCAAGTTATTCTTTAACACAATTTTTTCTTTAAAGTAACTTCACATAAGGCAAGGTACAGATATGAACAAGTTTGTCTTCCTGTTTCTTGGGAATCCTGTTGCAGTGATGCTTTTCCTTTGGGAATTAGCCCAAACCTCACTTTCCAAAGGTGGTTGCTACAGCAGAATCTAACTTTATATCCACCAGATGGGAAGTCAATACTAGTATTTATTCTCTGCAGCAAAAGAAACTTAAAAAAAATCCTCAACAGGCAAAGAAATAATTAACTTCAGAATATAAACAGGTATAAAAGATTTTGATGTGTCTGCAAACTTCAAGTCTATGGCTTTGCATCCATACCAATCACATAGCTCTCAGAACATAAACATAAATATACCTTACTTTGCATTAAGTGAAGCACATACAGGACACATCAGAGTTTGAGGCACTGTTGTCTTAAGAATGGTACAAAAGAGTAGGAGATTGGGATTTCTATCGCACTTCACATGGGGAAACTGGAACATAAACTCAGTAAGGTCCCAGAGATGGTAATGCAGAAGCATCAGGAATTAAACCAAACTTTCTTGAATTGTAATCTAGCACTCTTGGATCCTGAATTTCATTGCTCTTACTCTGGGCATATTTTTCAATGAACTGTGGCATTGTGCTTGTTTAGATGTTGTGTGAAGGCTTGTACAGGGAACTTCAACATGTACCCCAGGAGATCTCTGACATTTTGAGTTAGACTGATGAATGCCAACAGGATGTGTTGATGTCGAGGCCAACACCTTCCGCTGAGAGGAATGCTCTCTGGAATCTCTTAGCTGCTGTCACCAGTTCTTCTTTACCGTAGGGATTTAATTACTGTGCTAATCAGGAGCCAGACTAGATTCCAGAAGGAATATATTGGGTGTGAATTCCAGGGATTTCCACAGACATTGAACCTGTATTCTGTAGGGCTATGGTCAGGTACTCAGTGAATATGTCATCATTCAGTGTCCTGCTAGAGCTGAGGTATATTAAATGCCATGCAGGCACAAAGCTCTTGCCTGTTTCCTCTCCTGACTTGGCGAATGTTACAGAAGCAGCATGTTCTGGATCAGTGTCCATGCAGGGAGATTATAGGCATGAATGGAGCCTGATAATCAATGCTGCAGGATGCATGCAATTAATGGTAATACAAAATTAATGTTAGCACCTGTGGTCTTCTGTTAGGTGAATAATATTCTCCTAGGGAAAATTACAGACCCCCTAAATCCTTCAAAAGTGTAGAGTCAGCAAGTGCTGCTGAAATACTCTGTTGCATTTCAAATAAGTCAATAATATCATTAGCTTCAAAAGCAGTATTCAGATGGAGTTCTGCATTTATCCTAATATTTTTCAATTGTGTGCTGTCTTCTGTAGCACATTTAGGGAAAAATGAAAAATTCGTACAGCGATCAGTGTTGAGACAGCATTTCATTTGTGATTTGCAAGACCCTTAGCAGTTCTCCCTGGCTAAAACCAAAATGTTACCTTCACTTTGAAAGGTGAAAGTCTTGCTAAACTCTCCCTGTGTCTGTAGTCTCATCCCTGACCAGAGGTCGTTGAGGCTCCCTCTTGGTTGCCAATTAGGACCTGAACAGTGGTCATAACCTCTCCTGCTGACAGAACAGTACAGAGAAGGAGTTAGCATAGACCCTAAGATCTTTTCATAAACTGTTCGGTACTTGTGAGGATATAGGAAGCTCCTAAACAGAGAAGGAAGAGGGAGGAAGGACCAAGTTAAATGGCAGAGGCAGTGTGTTTGGGGTATTATTGCACGCTTCAGGTAATAGGAGGCACAAGGTGGCTCACCAGGCAATTTTAACCACACATGGAGTGCATTAATTCCCTTGAAATGCACTGCTTGCCTTGTCACTATTCATGTTCTGAAATCGATTTTTTAAATAAAAAATGAGGCAGCAGTCAGACTAGCTCATAGACTGACAACCTGTCAAAAGGCTGTGCTTCCCCAGAGTGGTTTCAGAACAACGGAATTTGTTTCATCTCCGTTTCTCCCTGCTGTCCAGGAGAACACCAAGAGGGTTATCCAGATTTTTTTCCCTTGTTTGTTTTTTTGTTTAGGCAAATTGTGGCTCGTTTCTAGCAGAAATCTGAATTGTTTACTACTTACAAGATGTTCTCTTCTGCATCTGCTAGAAATGTATTCATATTTTTAAAATCATCCCTTTTCTGGACCAATGTATTGTAAAGTTTCACCTTCCTGATGTCAGACTGTTAGTGGGAATGGGAGACTGCGGAGCCTTTCATCTCTGTCCTTTAAAGCACATCCAGTGCTGTGAAAAATGAGCATACAATTATGAATATTACTTAATTTAAACATGCAGAAAAAGGGAATATGATCTGACACTGGTTTTCACCAATCATTTTAGTACAAATTGATTATCTGCATAAAGTTTATATTTTTGCTTTTTTCCATAATGCCTGCTATGGTTACTAGAAGGGACAGTCATCAACGTCAGGTTTAAACAAAATTCTGGTTAAACTCAGAGGGGTCAGCCTCAACACTAAGCACTGCAGAAGTTACCAGAAATGGCTTATCTGCTCAAAATCCCAGCTGCGACTGCCTGCCCTCCTACCATGCCATGGAGGAGCCCCCAGGGCGGTCTGGGCTTTGCAGCCTGCGTCCTCCTAGCACGGTCGGCTTCGCAGCAGGCGTGTGGCCGGGGAAAATGAAATTAAGAACATCTTGACCATATTTCATGTTCTTCCAAATGCCTTTTCAGTCAGTCCCTTGGGTTTGAGGGTGTGAGTGCTTCTGCTGACCCGGCTTGGTGCGACCGTCCTGTAGCCAAGACAAAACGGCATATCTGGTAGAGCAGGGTGGCTCCGAGTGACCCCCGGCAGACTCACCATCCCTCTCCCCTGTCTCCTAGGTCTCGCATCCGCCGGGAGCTGTTCATCGAGGAGATTCAAGCCGGGAGCCAGAGCCAGGCTGGGTCGAGCGACTCTCCTTCCGCCAGAAGCAGCAGGGCCGCTCACAGCTCCGAGGGAGACAGCTGCGATGGCGTGGACGCAGAAGGCCCACCTGAGGGAAAGCCGAGTGGCCCGGAGGCGGATGAGTACAGCAATGCAACCACAAAGTCTCAGGGAGGGCCAGCGGAGTCGGCTTTCGAAGCGGGGGAAGAGGCACTGCAAGGCGCCAGCTCTTCGGAGAAAGCGGAGCCGTTCCAGGCGGAGAGCCTGGAGGACACCGACGACGAGGGCAGGCTCAGAGCACCGCGCCAGAGCTCTCCACCGGCATCGCAGCGCCCGGGAGAAGCTCTGGAGACACTGCCAAACTCTGCCACGGAAGGGGATGCCTCTACCTCAGCTGCCTCCACCTCAGTCCTTACAGGGGAGAGCTCCTACAAGTCAAAAGAAAGTTCAGAGAAAATCTCCAGTGTGCCAAGTACGAGCTCGACGCCGGCCGCAGGCTCGCAGAAAGCCAACTCTCTTCAGAGCTTGTTCAGCTTCTCCGAGGCGGCGAGCTCCAGGAACACGCGAGACAGCTCCTTGAGGAAAAAGAAAGCGGCAAACTTGAACAACATCATCCACCGCTTGGAGAAGGCCGCGAGTCGAGAAGAGGCCGTCGAGTGGGAGTTTTGAGATTAAACTCGCCCAACTCTGGAGAGCTGGGAAGTGAAACTGGACCTCTACTGGTTTTATTGTGTTGCGCACTTAACCGCCCTGCGGGCCACAGGGCAAAAACGCCATAGGCCAAGGTGCATATAGAAAACAAAAAGGAGCGTTAAGCCCAATTTATGTTTGTGTTTTCGAGGAAGAAAACTGAAATGTGTAGTCAAGCTTTTTTGTACCCTGAAGTGTTTTTATTATTGCCCTAAGTGATTTCCACAATTTCTGGAATAACTCATACAGCTTTGCCTTGTGCCCTCCTCTTTGGTGTGGGCTTTAAAAAAAGAAAAACAGAAAAAAAAGAAAAAAAAAAATCAAACCCACATATTAAAAGGGGGCTTTTTATCTGCCATCTAATGGCTACAGAGCGATAATACACTATTATCTTCTTAAACCAGGAAAAAAGGGGAGATTTTTCAAAAAAAAAAGAAAAAAAAAGAAAGTTTTTTGTAGCTGTTCAGTTGCCACTAAGAGATTGCACAGTCAACCGACTCTAAACACACTAGTTTGGATTCCTACATATTTTCAAGAAAAGAAAAGAATCTTGTTGTTTGAAACTTTGAATTAAAAAAAAAAAAAAACACATTTACTCCACATATTTTTTAACAAAACGAAAAAAAAGTCACATCAGGAAAATATCTTAATTTGTGGTAGCTGACTTAGTGTTTTCTTGTAAGTGAAATAGAATATTGACACGTAGTGCACATTGTTTCATAGCTTTAACTGATTCTGGTCTTTTGCAGACCAGAATTTGTTTAATACACTCCATTTTAGGCCAAATCAGGACAAAAAAAAAAAAATCTGAATCTAGGTATTTTATAATCTGCTTTTTAACCTCTAACCACAGAGCACGCTGATCAGACCTCATATCTAGGAGGTTTAGGAGACAACTTAGAAACAGCATGTACTTGATCATTTCACTTGGTTTGTAGTGTACAGAATTTCCTTTCAGTAAAGACAGATTGCTCAAAAAGTGTTGGCCAGTAACATTTCAGCCTGCTACTTGGGGGACATACTCCGTAACCCGAAACATTCAGCTTACCTGGAATCGATTAAAAGGTAGTTCACGTGTACGATTGCTGTCACACACCACTAAGAGGGGACTGGAGCTGCTTCAGATAGAGACCTTTTCCTGCTGTTGGTGGCCATTTACTGACTCTTCCCGCCACAAGCACTGATTTTAAATATGTTTTAGTTGTGGGAAGCTTATTTTTGCATGGATAAAGAGTACATGGCGATGACCAGACGGGCTCTTACCGGGACGGAAATAGCCCGAACTCCAAACCAAAACATTCATGCTCTCGAGTCCCAATCTAGACCATTCTGCCCTGCAGAAATACAGCCTTTTTCCATTATGTTATGCACAGGTTAGGGCCGATCAAAGTACAAATCAAATTCTAACTTGTCTCTAACTCCTCCTGTTGTCTATATGTATATGCGTGAGCATAGAGGTGTGTGGAAGGATGTGTGTGCGTGAGTGTGTGCGTGCAATTTTATACGTCTGTGTATTTTCTTACGTACTTGTGCACACATAGAGTGCATTACTGCCACCTTTTTTCAATAAGCTGTTTTATCAGTTATGGCTTCTACAAGTTTGCTAATTTAGACTCCTTTATTGCCATATCTTTAAAACTAACAATAGATGATTTCGGAATATATATATATATAAAAAT